ACACAGAACATCCCTGCTCACTGTCTCTGGGTCCCTGTCTGGTGTGCGTCCCATGCCCTGTTGGCAGGTGGTCGTAGGGCACAAGTGCCCCAGCCCTCAGTGGTCCTTTCCAGTCACAGGGTGGCAGGAATGTAAGTCCCCCGGCTTCATGGCTTCCCCACCTGCTCCAGGGGTGGGGAGGGGTTGACGCTCCCCTGTCTGAGCTCAGACCCCCTGGACATGCACCCCTGCTTGGCAGGAAGGGCAGGTCCTCCCTGTCCCCCGTCCTCCCCACTCCCCAGCTTCCTCCCCTACCCCCAGTGCATCCTAAGTCTGAATTTCTCTGGCCGGCCCTGAGGATGTGGTGGTGTGGAAGGGGGGAGCGTCCCAGGCCAGAGGACTTGCTAAGAGAGGACGACGGCATGCCAGCTCCACATACCACTTGGGCAGGCGGGTGGGCAGACAAGCGGGCTATGGGAACCCCAGCCAGGCAGGCGGAGATGTCGGGATAATGTAGCAGGTGGCCTCGTTACTCCCAGATCTGTCACCATGGTAACCTGGTTTTTTCTTTAAAAAATGTACAGTGCCAAGAGGAGGAAGATGGCTGACAAAATCCTCCCTCAAAGGGTGAGTGCCTTTCACAGCCGCCCCAGCAGCCCCCCCCTCTGCGGCCCCACCCTCTCGCAGGAGCAGAGCTTCAGCAGCACACCACTCTCACTGTTTGTTTAAAAAGCTCATTAAAGAAGTGAGGCTCCTCAGGCCAGACGGCGGGACGGGCCAGAGGGAAGGAGGCACCTGAGGTCCAGGGGATGGAGCGCCAGCAGTCAGGAGACAAAAAGGCATGGGACAAAGAAGAGAAAAGAAGCTGCCAGAGGGAGTCAGGGAACAGAAGATGGCCAGGGACCCAGGCCGAGCTGGGTGTGGGTGGCGTGCTGAGACCCCAGGTGTGGGGCCAGCGAGGGGCCAGGACCGAGGCAAGCGATGACAGCCGTCCTCTGTGTTGGGGACTCCAGAGCCCCTCAGCTCTTTGCAGGGACCCAAGAGAGGCCAGATGACAGGAGAAGTGACAAGATGAGGTTAGGCGCTAGCACTTGCTAGGCTGCACGGATGCTCAGCCTGGCATTGAGCTGCATGGATCTCTCTAGAGGGAGGAGCAGTTCTTATCTGAACACACGGAGGCCCCACTGAGGTTGCAGCCTGGGGTCCTAGGGTGAAGTCCCATCTGCACTCTCAAAACTCCTGGTCTGCAATCAGACCCCTTCCTTCCACACTTCTTGTGCCCTGGGATTGCACACCAGGCTCCCGTTCCACATCACAAGATTGTCTCAGACCCCGCTCCTGTCTTGCTCCTCCTCCAGATTCGGGAGCTGGTTCCCGAGTCCCAGGCTTACATGGACCTCTTAGCATTTGAAAGGAAACTGGATCAAACCATCATGCGGAAGCGGGTGGACATCCAGGAGGCCCTGAAGAGGCCCATGAAGGTGCCTTAGTATGGGCAGGAAGAGGGCTCTAAGCTGGTGATCAAGATGGGGAAGCAGGGTGGCCCCCGGGGTGGAGGCACATAGTCTCTGCCCTATACTATGCTCTTTATTTCTACAGCAAAAGCGGAAGCTGCGTCTTTATATCTCCAATACTTTTAACCCCGCGAAGCCCGATGCAGAGGACTCTGATGGCAGCATTGCCTCCTGGGAACTGCGGGTGGAGGGGAAGCTCCTGGATGATGTACGTCCTGGCCCAGGTCTCTCCAGGTGTCCTGGGGTGGGTATGGGCATCAGGAAGAGTCAGGGAGTCGCCCTGCCCCAGTGGGTGGGCCTGGGGTGAGTCTGAGTGCAGAAGGCTGCCCCAAAGTGTGCCACCTGCCTGCTGCCAGCTCAGCCCATCCTGCACCATGGCCCCTGTTCCTCTCCCACAGCCCAGCAAGCAGAAGCGGAAGTTCTCTTCCTTCTTCAAGAGTTTAGTCATTGAGCTGGACAAAGACCTGTACGGCCCTGACAACCACCTTGTTGAGGTAAGGCAGATCCTTTCTGCCCTTGAACCCACTTTCCTGAAGGCCCAAGGCCCAAGAGAACCTGCACAGATTTGGATCAGGGATCATGCTAAAGCCCTCAGCCCTACCGAGCCAGATGGGCCTGCAGGTGACCCAGCCCTTCCCCCTGGACAGTGGCACCGAACACCTACAACCCAGGAGACGGATGGGTTCCAGGTGAAGAGGCCAGGGGACCTCAGTGTGCGCTGCACACTACTCCTCATGCTGGACTACCAGGTCTGTGCCTGTCCCCACATCCCAGATGCCAAACCAGGCACATCCCAAGGGGCCCCGTCCTCCTTCCTGCCCCTCCTGCAAACCCTATTTCCAAGGGGCCCGATCACCATGGCCTCTGCCCCAAGATGCCTGGCCTTGAGCTTTTCCCACGTCCTCTCTTTGGTCTAATTTTCTGGTCACCTTTTCCTAGCCTCCCCAGTTCAAACTGGACCCTCGCCTGGCCCGGCTGCTGGGGTTGCATACACAGAGCCGCTCGGCTATTGTACAGGCCCTGTGGCAGTACGTGAAGACTAACAGGCTACAGGACTCCCATGACAAAGAGTACATCAACGGGGACAAGTATTTCCAGCAGGTAATGTCTCCTGAACCCAGGGATCTGGGGAGCACCTCTTCAAAGGGAACACCACATCTCCCTACTAGAGTCTGTAAGACCAGAAACGGCCAGAGCCATGGCCGTGGGCCAGGAGGGATAGGGGTCTAGGCCAGGTCTTCTACACATCAGCTCTATGCCGCAGCCCTCCATTTAGGCTCCCCAAGTTAGGACTATCTGGAACCCTACAAAGCCAACGACATACCGGAATGCCATGTTCTTGGCACTTGGAGTTAGGATCCCTGGGTTCTAGACCAGCCCTAGACTTTAGGTAAGTTAACTCTGCTATTTGTGCCTTGCTCCTTATCTTTGAAGTGTGGGGTAATGACACCCATGCCCTGGGCAGTTAAGAAAATCACATTGCTGTGAAATTGCTAGGGCAACATTCTCCCAAAGTAGAGTAATATTAGGAATATGTTTTACAACAAGCACAGCAGATAAAGCTCAGTAGAAAAAGCAGGTGATATTTATTGAGGCTTACCATGTCGCCAGGCCCTACTGAGAGCACTTTGTGAAAGTGTGTCGATTCCGTGAATCCTCATGACACCCTGTGAGATAGGAACTGTCAAAGTTCCCATCCCAGAGATGAAGACACTGAGGCCAAGGCTGTTGGGTGACTTGCTCAAGGTGGCATGGTGTGATGGAAGCAGGGCTAATGCCCCAGCGGGTAGCTCAGGGCCCTACCCCAAGCCCTTGTTTGCCATGCTGCCAACCCTACATCCCATGGGCACTGAGGAACCCAACTTGCCCTCAGCTTCCAGTGGCCTTTCCAGAATGGAAGGACCTAGAACTATAGCCATGATCTCTTTACACAGAGGAGTGAGATTTTCCTCGACTGTCTTATTTCAGATTTTTGACTGTCCCCGGCTGAAGTTTTCTGAGATTCCCCAGCGCCTCACAGCCCTTCTGTTGCCCCCTGACCCAATTGTCATCAACCATGTCATCAGGTGAGGTGGCCCCAGCTTGCTTCTGCCTTTCTAGTCCTCCCTCCTCTTCCCTCCCTCCCTCCCTCCTGTGCACCAGCCCTGGGGCTCTGGGCCTCTGTGGAGACGTCATGGCCACCAAGGGGTTGACTTCCCTGGCAGCGTGGACCCATCAGACCAGAAGAAGACAGCATGCTACGACATTGATGTGGAGGTGGAGGAGCCACTGAAGGGCCAGATGAGCAGCTTCCTCCTGTCCACAGCCAACCAGCAGGAGATCAGTGCTCTGGACAGTAAGGTGGGGCCCGAGCCCAGAGCTGGAGCGGAACAATAACTCAGAGAGGACACAGCACACTTAGGACAGACCAGAGCGTGGGTTAGGGGCAGACAGGGACATGTGCCTTCGCTGGCTGCCCAAATCCCAAGTTTAGCTCTGCCCACCCTTCCTTGGCTGGGTCTTGGTGGAAGTGGGGCTCGGAGACCGCCCTTCATGGAAGCCCTCCCCTCCCACCGCACCCTGCCACCTTCCCACGGGCATTGCGGTGACCAGGTGGAAAGCATCTCTCTACCTGCAGATCCATGAGACGATCGAGTCCATAAACCAGCTCAAGATCCAGAGGGACTTCATGCTAAGCTTCTCCAGAGACCCCAAAGGCTACGTCCAAGACCTGCTCCGCTCCCAGAGCCGGGACCTCAAGGTGAGCAAGAGGCTGGGGGGCGCTGGAGTGGAGACAAGCAGATGGGGAAGAGCATAAACGCTGTATGCCAGAGGCAGGTGAGGGCGCAGGGCTGGCACCGACTCCATGCCCCCTCTCAGGTGATGACGGACGTAGCTGGCAACCCTGAAGAGGAGCGCAGGGCTGAATTCTACCACCAGCCTTGGTCCCAGGAGGCTGTGAGCCGCTACTTCTACTGCAAGGTCAGGCGCCCCTGCCCTTGAGCTTTCCTTTCCTCCACATCTCCCTGCCCTTGCTGCTCCCCAGTGACGCCTGTCTGCCACACACACCCCGGTGTATTGTGGCCTCCTGCTCCCAGACTGGGCCAGGACAGGGGACACAGGATGGGTGGGCGGGCTGTCCTGCTCACTCACCAGGAGCACTGTAACCCTGTCCCTACCCACACTTCGTCTAAAGATTCAACAGCGCAGGCAGGAGCTGGAGCAGTCACTGGTTGTGCGCAACACCTAGGGGCCTGCGACTGAGCACTGCTGTGGACTGGGGACCAGCTGGGGGCACCCCGAAGAACTGGCCAGACGGCTGGGATCGGCCACCTCACCCTTGGCTTCTTGCCGCCTTGGGGGCGGGAGGACTGGATTAAAGGTTGTTCATCTGACAGCAGCCGTGTGATCAATGGAAACCCAGGACAGAGGGAGCCAGGAGGGGGAAGACAGTGGGTCCCTCTGCACAAACTCCCCACACCCTTCCCTCAGATTCTTCTCCTTCCCCATTTTTCCTAGTTAAAAACATTTTGGTAGAAAACATTTTTTAATAATACTTTCTTATTTAAAAAAATACAGCAACATGCCCTCTGTCCATCGCCTTGCCTTGCCCTTCCTGGGGCAGAGGTGGACGAGGGACCCTCAGGGAGGGTGCTAGGTGCTGTTGGCCTGCTCCTGCTCGAACAGGGCCATGGCAAGCTGGGCACGGCCCCCCAGCCCCTCCAGGTTGCTCAGGCGGCAGCGATGGAAGAGTTCCTCGCTGAGCCGGGGGCTGCAGTCCCGCAGGGAGAACTTCTGCACCAGCCCTGGCTCTACGGCCCGAAAGAGGTGGAGCCCTGAGAACCGGAGGAAAACATCCATCACCTCCAGCCCCTCCAGGGCTTCCTCCTCTTCCTGGCCTGCCAGTTCACCAGCCAGCCGGGCGCGGGCCGCCAGATAGTCAGCATTGTAGAAACAGCCCTCTGCCGATGCCTGCCGGTCAAACCTGCCCCCAACAGGGGCCCCCCGGGACGGGTCCGAGCCAGGAGGGGATGGGGGGTCAGGGCCAGCCCCTGGAGGGCCTGGGGGTGACCTCTGTGGTGACAGGGCAGGGGTGAACTCTTGGAAATGGACTGGGAAGAAAGCCTGCCAGCCGGAGATGGCGTTCATGCGGCAGCGGTTGAGGACTTCGGGCCCAGGCCTGGTCCACACGGTGGTGAGGAAGAAGAGGGTGTCCACGGGGTGCTTCTTGGACACCACATCCATGAGTCGCACCTGGGAAGGGGCCTCTGCTCTCACAGCAAGCCAGGCCAGCCTTGCCCCAGGATACCGCCGCTCCAACTCCGCAGCCGCAGCCTTCACCCCAAGAAATGGGTCTGGGGCCCCATGGCCACCATCCCGGGGCCCATAGACCAGCAGCAGGGTGAGCAGCACATGCTCTCGAGGCTCCAGCACGCTGGCTGCAAAGGCCTCCAGGAATGCTGTGGCCACTGCAGCTTCGGCCACCAGGAGTGGTAGCACCAGCTGCACTCGGGTGGCTTCGGTGACATAGGGCATAGGCAGGATTTCCACGCGGCTCAGTGGCCGCAGCAGACTGACCCTTCGAACCAGGGCCCGCCGGTGCCCCCGCTGAGTGACAGCTTCCAACAGCAGGTCCAAGGTGTACTCCATGCCCCGTGCTGGGTCAAAGCGCCGGTAACCATTGAGCAGCCGCCGCTTCTGGAAGCGCAGGCGGGGCTGATAGCGCCGATTGAGCTGCTCCAGAGCAGTGTCCACAGCATCACCCACGTCCACCCTGTTGGCCCCCTGCAGAGGGCACTTGGGAGCCCCATCTGCACAGGAGAAGGTGTGCTGCTCAGTGAAGTAGTCCCAGCCCAGCACCTCAAAGCGAGAATGCGGTGTGAAGGGAGCCGGGAGTCCGATGGGCCAGCTCAGGCCTGCCTCTCCCTCGGGGGTCAGTACTGTCAGGTTTTGGATCTGGGCCTGGGTTGGAGGGAACACACCTCATGTGAGCACCAGTGCTAGGATCCCACCCGGCTCCAGCTTTCTGGCCTCGGAGATTCTGACAGTGAGCTCTGGCTAATCACCTGTGTCCTGCTGTAAATTGCAGAGGGGACAAGAATGACCCCCACCTTACATAAATGCCGTGAGGAGGGACGTGCACTTTACACAGGAAAAGTCATCTTGACGTACGACGCTCACCCACCCTTCTCTGCCCTGTCCAGTGCACACACATCCTCTTCATGACTGGACCCTTTCTCATCTGTACCCCATCACTAAAGATTCCCACATGCCTCTCCCGTCTACTCTTGGGCTTTATTTTATTTTATTTTATTTTATTTTATTTTATTTTTTGGTACCAGGGATTGAACTCAGGACCTTGTGCTTGTGAGGCAGGCAGCGGAACCACTGAGCTAAATCCCTGGCCCTACTCTTGGGCTTTCTTAAGAGTTCCAGAAGTTCAGGGACTTCTGGGTTTCTGCCTCCTTGGGTGGAGAAGCACTGTCAGCTCCCATCTGCCCTGCCATGCTAGGGTCCAGCCCAGCCCCGACTTGCTCAGCTGCCTGCTCCTTTGAAGTCTGGACGCATTGGGGCCCCCCTCCTACCCTCCAGCCAGTCCCAGGCCTGCCCACTGTTCTACAGCTCACCTGCAGTTGTTCTATTTCACTGTAAGCCCACTCCAGCTCCAGAGCACTGAAGCGTTTGTGCAGCCGGTACATGAGGGTGCCTTCGGAGACAGGGTGCACGGCGAAGGCACTCAGGAAAGCCGAGCTCCCCTCCTTCTCGGGGTCCCTATTCTTGGCCAGTTCAAAGGAGCGATACTGCTGCCCCTGGAGGGATCAATCATACCAATCAGTGCCACACACAAAGGCTGCCTATCCCAGCAGGCCTTGACCATCCTCACCGATCACACCTGCCACGGTTGCTACTTCAGAAGGAGTGGAAGGAAAGGCTCTTCCTGGTGGCTCCCCTTTCTCAGGCTAATTTCAGTGCCTCATTTTGGGAATGATAAATCAAGTAGGCACTAGGGATACCTTCTCCCCACAATGAATCCCACTGCTCCTCAGTGGCATGAAAGCCATGAGCCAGAAAATCTTCCAAGCCTTCCACCCTTCTGCAGCACAATGGGCTCCTCCGAGGGCTGGAAAGTGATCACCTTTCTTCTCAGGGAAGAAGCCATCCCTAGAAAATGCCCACATTGTCCCTAAGTGTGATGTGCAAGGGGAGGTGTTGGGGAAGGGAGACAGATGGGGTGCAGGATGGTGAGTCAGGCCCCTCTGTCCTGTTCAGGGATCCCTGATAAGATGCGCTTCTGATGGCCTCAGGGTTATGAGTGACAAAGGGGCAGGGCAGTAGCTGGGAGGACAAAATGTCAGCCTCTAGCGAGCAGCCTGGAGAGCACTCACTCAGTCACTGTCAACTTGGTGGGGACTGGGACTGACTTGAAAGAGCTGTCACCTGGTGCTGTGAGACACAGCCAACGCCCAGAGAGTCGATGAGGCAGCGGCCAAGCCACTCATCAGGACGAGCACTGAGAATGTCCCCGCGGCAGCCATCTAGGTGCGGCCGCAGGCGAAGCAGGAGGCTCCGTGACAACAAGTAGCCAAAGCCCCCATGGCAGTACCGGGCCTGCTCGCCTGCCCCGATGAACTCCTCTGCCCGGCCCAGGTACAGGTCCTGGTTGATGCTGAGGTGGCCGGCAAGGGCTGCCAGGCGAGGGGCCTGCACATATGTGTCATCCTGCATAATGAAGAACCAGTCATAGTCGGCCCCAAAGTGTGTGTGAAGGTGGCGCAGGGTCTCCGACATGAGCCAGGCAGGCCGCTCATCCCCATGGGACACCACCTGCATCCCTGAGGGAGCCCGGGCCCCTCGCTGCCCGGTGAAGTAGAGTAGCCGAGGGAAGTGGTGGGCCACTGTGCGGTTAACAGCCACGGCCAGAGTAGACAGTGTGGCCCGGGAAGTCAAGACGGCCACCAGCAACCGCTCTCGAGAGCCCAGCTCTGTTTGGATGTACCGAGTCCTGTGGAGAGACCAGCAGGCAGGGGTCAGTTCCCTGGTCTGCAGAGAATGTGCGCCAACTTGTCCAGCACATACATCCCCCTAGGACCAAGTGAGTTTGAGCTGAGGAAAAGGGACAGACTCCCTTCCTTGTCAATATGGATTAGCAAATAAACATTCATTGAGTAGTTAATGAAACACCAATTCAGCATCAATGATGAGACTTTCTTAGATATGAGAAGGAGCAAGTCTGGAACAAAGCAAGATGGAGAAAAGACAAAGAATTGCACCAGGCATGGTGGTGCACACCTGTAGTCCCAGCACTTGGGAGGCTGAAGCAGGAGGATCACAGTACTCAAGGCCAGCCTGGAATATATAGCAAGATTCTGTCTCAAAAAACAAAAAAAGACAGGAATTGCTGCAAGGAACCAAACATTGAAGCAGAAGTAAGGACTTAAACAGCAGTCCCAGCTAAGACCCATGTTGGTAAACCATGCAAATAAGTGCCCCTCACCTGAGCACCTTCTTGTAGGGCTTGTTTGGATCCCTGTAGTAGGGGACAATCCTAGGTTTGAAGTCCTCATCACTTTGGTCCAGCTGGTGTCCTGAGTCTGGATTCTGTGGCCCTCCTGGCTCCCCCACAACCTCTACACAGGGATCCTCTCCCTCACCCTGGATCCAAGAAACCCGAAGGAGGCTCAGGCTGCATCCAAGTGACAGTCCTAGGATGAGGGGTAGTGCTGGCCGCAGCAGAGCCAACAGGGAGCTCAGTCGCATGGTGACAGGCCTGACCATGAGGGTGCACCCGTGGGCACAGCTTCAAGAGTCAATGTGTCGATGGGCACCAGGCCAGCAGTAGGCTTAGTCTTAGCCAGGGAACGCGGGGTGAACAAGGTCAACAACAGAGCAAGGTGTGCTGACTTCCAGGCCAGGCATCCCCTGGAAGATCGATGGAGCTGACTCTACACTCCAGATGCCTGGTCTTCAGTCACCAAGGTGTGAGATTCACCCTTCAGCCCAAGCAGTACACACATGCAAATGGTTTCCTTTGCTCCTGAGATTACAGTGTGCCTTCCAGTAGGAAGGAGAGGAGCAAAGCTCAGTACTCTCAAACCTAACCCAAAAAAGGACAACACACAAATGCAGACTGGGCCTAAGTCAAAAGAAGGCAGCAACTGATAAAGAAGGGCTTAGGGAAAAGCACATGATACATCAAAGCAACTGTCCAACCAGAGGCAGCTGCCTCAGTTTCCCTTTTCTGAAGACCACCTAGCAACATCCCCACTCAAGCTGTTGAAGAGGCTGCTGACCAACTGCTGCAGACCAGCAAAAGGCAAGGAGCCAGGGGCTCTTTCCGCCCTGCTCTCAAGTACCAAGGACACACAATGGCTACAGCAAGCCCCCCTCCCTCTCAGGAGCAGTCAGCAGCGGCGCACGGTGCACACCAGCCAGCCCACATCAAAGGAGGTGGGCACACGCGGTGACTCAGCACTGACGGCCGCTCAGAGGAGCGCAGTGCCCCATGGAGCCATTTTGCAGGGCATTTGTCTCAGTATCCCAGCTGCTGCCAGGCTCTGCTGCCCACCCTCCTGAGGGCAGGCAGCGTACAAATTACAGGCACTCTTGCTGCGTGCCAGCAAATGCTGCCTGGCTTTCCCTGGGCCCCGGGGACCACGCCAAACAAGCGGAAAGCAAACCGTGCGTGCGACGAGCAGCAGCTGGAGAACACAGGGGTTCTGAGAAGGCCAGCAGGAGCGCGGCTGCCTTCCGCCAGGACCCACGGCCGGCCCCGTCTCGGCGCCCGCAGCCCGAGCCAGCCCCAGAAGAAAGGGCCAAAGCGAGTCTTAAAACAGACAGCGGAGGAGCGGGGTCCAGCTGCTGTGAACCGCGGGCCGGCGAGCGGAAGCGAGGGAGGGAGGGAGGTCGAAGCCGGGACCGGAGCCGGAGTCGGCGTCCTCAGCCCGCTCGGCCGAGGCGAGGCAGCTGGCGACTGGGGGCGCCCGATCCCCAAGGGAGGGGGCCCCAGCAGCCGGACTGGGGTCGGCGGAGGCCGGATCGAAGGTGACAGGGTCTCCGGCGGGACATGGGGACCCGGAGGCGTGCGTAGGGACCCCGGCGGAGGGCTGAGACCGGGAAGAGTGAACAGACCCCAGGGCCGATGGAGGATCCGGCTCCGCCGCGGATGCAGCTGCCACCTCACGCCGCGGCCCGAGGCTTCCTCTTCCGCTGTCTGTCAGTCACCCGTCTCTATGGTGACCGTATCCGGCCGCTCGCTCCTCCCACGCCCTCTCTATGGTCGCTCGCATCCCTGGCCCCCAGTAAAGAGCTGGGATCCACAGACGCCAATCCCAGCGAACCCGAACTGCACCAGAGGTGCCCCAAGCTTTCTCTCAACAGCATCTGCGCTGAACAAAAGGCATACCCCCACCCTCCATGAGCACGCTTCTCCCCAACGGTTTCGCAACCCAATTCAGTTGCTTAACTGTTGGTTGTTTGCCCATTAAACTTCAGACGTCTTAGTGAGTGCTGTCCTAGGTAAATAAAGGGTGGATGAGATGGGCATGGCTCTGCCCTCAGGCAGCTGAGAGTTGAGGGCAACAGGTGGAGAGTAAACCTTCGTCAGAAATCAAACTATGATACCGTAAGTACCATTGCAAAAAAGTACAGAAGCCAGTGGAAACCCAAACAGGGAGAGTTAAGTTAGATGGAGAATGTGGGGATGATGCGATCCAAAGGTTCAGGTAAGAGTTCCAGATAGAAATCTGAGTTTTCCAGGGGCTGGGGATTTAGCTCAGCGGGACAGCACCTGCCTGGCAAGCTCGAGGTCCTGAGTTCAATCCTTGGTACCAAAAAAAAAAAAAAGCTGAGTTTTCCAGGCAAAGAGCACGCGGAGGACCTGACAGAGGGGAAAGCAGTCATCCACAAAGAAAACTGAAAAGGCCAGGGCAGTAGAGCCTGGTGAGGGGACATTGCCCAAGGTGAGGTTAGGGGACAGGCAGTGGACTCCTAGCCACTGCTCCAGTTTGGAAATGTACACAGGCAATTTACTCATCAGACCATGGGACAGGGTGTGGGGGCTCAATGCCTTGCACACTGGAAAACCATCCTGATCCCAGCAGCCTGCAGATGTCCTATTGAACATTCATATAGGTGAAAAAAGGTTACACCTGGGTTTTTTACATTAAAAATGAGCTACTTTTTCAGGGTTGTAATATGTGAATTTTTAAGGGACATAACTATCACATAAATGGAAGGACAATGGTACTTCGTTATGTTTAGGAATTTGCTAAGTGCTAGTCACCTTTTTAGAGCACTGTATCACTGACTTCAGTGTCACAGTGTTCAGAATACATCTGTATTGTCACATCCAAGGTGATCTCACATATACGTACAGACATCTAATTATGTCTTTGAGTATACTGAAATCACGATTACTTTATTAATTTTTGAAATTATGTGTTTAGTTAGGGAACATCATCTGCAAACTTCATTTCAAAATAGTAAAGAAAATATTTTAAAAAATTATTAAAATATAACAATGGGGCCAGTAAAGAATGACCATTCTAGCTAGGTGTTGTGGCACATGCCTGAAAACCCTGCACTCGGGAGCTGAGGCAGAAGGATCATTGTGAGTTTGAGGTATCCTGGGCTACATAGTTCAAGGCAAGCCGAGGCTATTTTTTTTTAAACTACCATTCTAGGAGTATACAAAATAGAACTCACCTGATATATTATCTACTAGCACTGTGGTTACTGTGTCTTGGTCTTCCATTTTCAGTTAGCTAAGTACTGAAATTTGCAATTGGATCTCTGCTTCACAACTAGAACATAATAGGTGGTAAATGAATGATTTCTTAGGAAAGACTTTGAGAAAGTCTCTAGTCCGGGAAACAGACTAGAGAAAGAAAATTTCTTTTCTTTTTTTTTTTTTGGAGGTTAAGAATAGGAAAAATTTATTCAGAGAAAGATAGGTTCTGTCTAAGAGAGACAGAAGGGGCACCATAAAGTGGGTTGCCCTGAGAAAGATTTCTAGATCAATGTTGTCCTATAGAAATATAATGCAAGCCATAGATGTGAGCCATGTGTGTAATTTAAAAATTTCTAGTAGCCACATTTTTTAAAAAGTAAAAGAAATAGGTGGTATTAGTTTTATTTTATTTTATTTATTTATTTTTTTGGTACCGGGGATTGAACTTGGGACCTTGTGCTTGCGAGGCAAGTGGCGGAACCACTGAGCTAAATCCCTGGCCCCTGGTTTTAATATCTTATTATTAGATATCTCCAAAATAATATTTTCAACATGAGATCAATATGAGAAACTATTGATGTGATGTTTTGCTTTTCTTCACATGCACCCTTTGAACTCTATAGTGGAGTTTTATGGGGTAAAACCCATACAGGTACCAGGTGGGCCATAGCCATGATCAAACAATAAGGTTATAAGTATAGTCACTTAGGTAATAGTGGTCCTGTTGGGAAACAAGCCACATAACAAGTGTGGTTGGAAAGAACAAAGACTTCTCCTAGGAAATGTGGGTCCAGAGGTCTCTGGTCACCCACCAGGATGGCTGATATATATCTAGACTTAATTAGGCCCAGTGTTTGTCCTTTGAGGAAGAATACAGGTCTGGTTATCTTGTCTTTATCTTGAGGCCCAGTATCCAACAGATGTGTCTCCGGCTGCAGTTGTGATGTGTTTCACCTTTATCCTGACTGTCTTGAGGACCTAGCCCTATCTGACTGCCTATTTTTACCTAATTCCACTGTTTATAATACCACCAGTATTGTTTTATTTATTTGTTTATTTTCAGTATTGTTTTATTAAACAACTTTGTGCCTTAGTTTCCTAGACTGTAAAAGGAAAAAAAGAACACCTCAGAGTTTGTTGGGGGGATTGATGAAAGAGCATAAATGAAAGAGCACAATAAATGTTATTATTCTTTGTAATGGGTAACATGCTTGTCACCACACATTAAGTGAGGCTGGGAGAGGGAACACACTGCAGACAATGCTCCCAGGAGGCTCAGATGCCTGGGTGAGTGATTTTTACATGATCCACCATCATATATAACTCACTTTCTTCATACAGTAAGGGTTTATAGTCACTCAACTATAATTAATATTCTTTTATATCTAAAGTAATTCTTTTGCCCATGGTAGATGCTTAATATTTGTTGAATATGTTAAACTAAACAAACATCTAGTGCATTCTTAAGGCAGGAAAGGCAAGAAGAAAGCCAAGAAGGGGGTGGGGATCTAGTTCAGTGGTTCTGCTGCCTGCCTCTCAAGCACAAGGTCCTGAGTTTGATCCCTGGTACCAAAAAAAAAAGAATGAAAGCCAAGAAGAACTCAATCAAAAGGAAAAAAAAAAGGGCCGGGGATTTAGCTCAGTGGTTTCACTGCCTGCTGCACAAGCGCAAGGACCCAAGTTTGATACGCACCCCGCCCCCACCCCCGTACCAAAAAAAAAAAAAGAATCAATCGGCAATAACAAGCTCTGATTTTTTTTTTTTTTTTGGTACTGGGGACTGAACTCGGGTCCTTGCGCTTACGAGGCAGGTGGCAGAACCACTGAGCTAAATCCCCAGCCCTAAGTGCTGATCTTTTTAACAAACATGAAGTAAGTATTCTACTATTGAAACAGTTGATTCTATGCAAATTGAGCTCCTCATTTCACAAAGTCAGAGAATGCAAATCATGGACAGAAGGAGGAAGTTAGGCAAGTAATTTTTGGAAATAATAAGAGACATATCTCCTGTCACCAGGAGGGGATTCCAAATGGAAATCCAACTTGTTTTGTTTGTCCTGATCTTATATAGACAAGCAGAGCATGAATAAGAGCTCTTTGGATTTCTAATGTCTCCCCCCCCAAGTCCAGTCCTGAACTGGAGAAACCGTCAACTAACAGTATACTCTGCAAAAGAACCTTCTTCCAGGGAGAAAAAATTGTTATCTTTCTATTCTTATGCTAACCTTTATCCTTTTTCCTGTGGTGACTGCCTATTTATAAGCTAACTAAACTCTCTATTGCACTGTCATTTTCATTTTATAGAGAAAAGTGTGTACTTTGCCCGAGGTTAAACACTATGAATGGTAGACCTGGGATTTGAGTGTAGCCAGTATGGCCTGAGTTAATGCTCTTAATTATGCCATGCCAAGTGAGGTCCCCACCTTAATGCTCCAACAACACACAGGAGTAGCTTCTTTTGTCAGTCTGTTTACTTTTCAAAGTTCCTTCTTCCTTATGAGCCCCTAGGTAAGGGAGTGACTAGTCACTATTGCAACTCTATCTCAGCCTGACCTATAGAAGATACTTAATTGGCATCGGGTATTCTAGGAAAATGAACATTCAAAGATATGAAAGTGTGAAACAGTACAGCTTATCTCTGAACTATAAATAGACAATTTACCGGAACACTAAGTTAAAGGAGAAAAACTATTTTATTATGCTGGGAGGGGTGAGTTTGTCTGTTTGTTACAATATCTGGACACAAGGTGTTACTTTTAGACGATGTGCTTAGAGAGGAAGTAACAGTTTCTTTTGCTTTCCTGCAGTGTCACAGGTAGTAAAGCGCTGATGGACAGGAGCCTGTAAAAGTAGCAAGGATTGTAACTAGTCTGCCTTATATCCGAGGCTACAAGTTTGAGGTTTCCTAATGTGAAGTCTGTTAAGAGACTTTCAACAGTGAGACAAAGTAACAGGCAAGGTCACCGATAAAGTGTTGATAAAGCTAAACTCATCAAAGGGGTCTTTGTACTTAAGGCTCTTCCCACCAAATCTACTGAGCTTTGATGGAAACCTAACAGTTCTGGAGTGGGTGAGCCAAGGAGCTCAGGTTCAGGAACAACATTTGGCACCTTCTAAAAGTGTGGTTAGCCATAGTCCGACCTCTAAAATTTCGGTTTCAAGAAACGAAGACGCGTTTCTTCCATGGAGGAATCTTGTTGGCATCATTTGAGGCAAGATGTGCAGCTTTCCGAAACCTCTGCCCAGCGCCTCACTCTCCCTCCTCCTCCTCCCACCTCCACCTCTCCCATTGTCTCGACTCATTTCGCGTGATGCATGCTGGGAAGTGTAGTCGTACACTCTGCTGGCTAGCCTGGTTGTGTAGCCCTATAAACTCGTTACGTAGGTCCACACTGCTCAACAGATCTTCGAGAGGTGGAGTAAACTCCACAAAGCCCAGCCCGCTTATCCGAGGAGCAATCTGGGATTTGCAGTTTCTAGGGCCTAAAGCAGGCCCGCCGGTAGAGGACTCTTGGACTATCAATTCCTTCCCCCAACCCTCGTGCGTTCTGATGACGTCACCAGGACCCGCGTAGGCCCTGGGATATGTG